ATCTATTGCTGTTTGCGAAATTCTTAGTCGTAAAGCTCTCTGCCGCCCCTGCCTTTATACCGAATTGAATTTCTAACTTGGAAAACCGATCGATCTCCTCGAGTTGACCGCTTTTCATACCTCCCGCGAGGAAATCCGCCTAGTGGTAAACAAATCGGATCACATCACTATCAAATTCAAATATATGGTGAAATTCTGTCCACGTCAAAACTACACCATCTGGATCTTTAACGCCGCAGTTTAGTAATTTGCGAAATATGTAGGTACTTGTTTTCTACAGTACCTAAGTAATTCAAGCAGTTCCTACGAATTGTGTATTTGTATACGGATGGAAGGCATAATCTTTTCTACATTACTGTAAGTTGTAGGCTAATCAGTAAAAAATCTGCATCCCTAAGACAATAACAAAAAACTTTGTCCCTTTTTGTGAGGATGTGGGAAAAATAATATTTATTATTTTTGACTTTGTATACTGATGATGACATTTTTTTTGCCCACAATTTAATTTCATTGTTTTAAATACATAGTAAAATGTTCCGGTCCCAAAATTTTTAAATCTTTTGTGCAGTTTATATGTAATGGTGGTTATTTGTGGTTTAAAAAATATTAAAATTAACATATAGGATTTCATATTCTAAGGAAAGTTATTAATCATGCTCAATGGCGATTCGATGGCTGCAGTCTCAATAGAAGCAACTGTAACATAGATTGTGGTAGCAGAAGTGTGGGAGTTGAGTAACAACATTTAATATAAACTTTTCGATTTTGAATAGAATGACCAAATTATAAGGCGATTAAACTTACGTATACATACATGGTTTCCTGCTTGATACATTGAGAAACTCATAACTGTTCAAAAATATAAAAAAAGAAAGATAATGAAATGAAAACGTGAGAGTTAAAACTCCAAACTGCCATTATGGTAGTTTCTATAAATATTTCTTCAATATTACTTGGAATTGTAGAGTAGGGTGAAAGATATAGTGCGGTTATAGTTTAATTGCTAGGTACTCACCTTGGGTAGTTTTTAGTTTTTCGTTAAAATGGGCCGCAATAAATCTTTCCCTGCCCAGAACTTCTACTGTAAAAGTAACAAATAAAAATTATTATTTCAATGCGGCACGTGGCCTACCTGCATATATTTATTGGATTTTATGAGAATCCGCAAAATGCTCGTGAAGTCAGTCGTAAACGCACTATATCTTTAGCGGTACTTTATAACTGTATAAAAACCTTTGTTCTGCTAAGACAATTTCTGAATTATCGGTTAAGTACCTAATGGAAGCAATTCATAAAATGAAGAATATCATCACAAACTTATTTTTATAAAACAATTATGTTCAAGGAGTCCGTAGGTATATCTGAATATCATTTTTTTTTCAACTGCTTGGACGTTAAGATGTACTGAGATAAGTTTTGTTTAACGTAAAACTGAAACAGTGACATTTAATCAAATACATTTTGAGTTGAGATACAGTTTGTGAAATTAAAAAAAAAGATACATTTTAAACCTCGTTTCATTTTTACCTGAAAAAAAAGGGAATGTGATAAGAGACAAATTTTATATCAAGTCTAAAGAAATGTATAAGTTCTATCAGTATTGTTTTAAGTAGTACATATATTAAAGCTTGAATATCGCCTTTTATGCGAATTTTAAACTTACAGCCAGACATACGCATTGATTTATGTTGAACATCAGCACGAGTCCGGGGGCCGAAAAAATTAATGTGTGAATCAAATCTGATCGTCTAAATTTTTAAAATGGAATTTGAACAAACAATGTTAATGTTAAAAAAGAACGTTTTAACAAACTAATTTCATTCAAATTTCAATTCTTTTGATATGTCAACAAAATTACACAAAGTGTCTATTTGAAAAATTAAATTGAAAAGTTTGGAAGTATCTCCATGTTTCTGTCAAAACATTTTTGGGTGCGGTTTTAGCAAACACAAATTAACTAACAAGCTAAATTTATGGACACACACACACAGTCATATATATATATATATATTTGATTTTCAATAATACTTACCTACTTGTGTATTTTTCGCATATTTTTGCATATTTTTTATTTTTAACGAATTTAAAGAATATTTGTTTTATAATTGTTATTATTATTACATTAATTTTAAAAATTATCCTTTTTTTTATTTAAGTGGTAGTAAAAATATTTTTGATATTCCTGCGAAGTGATCAGTCATATAAACAAAAAGTGCACGATTCTTTTTTATCACAGAAGTCAGTTATAAAGGAGAAATGTGGCTGCATGCTATTACTTATTCTCCAATCTTTAGGTCTATGGAAAACAAAAAAAATAATAGATTTTGAAGATAAAAGAATGTATGTATAATAATAGATAGGTCACAAAATGAGTAATTAACTAACGTTAGCTGTGCAGTTTTTATATAGCGTGATGAATCCTCAGTACATGCCTGATTCAGTTTTGTGTGATTAATGAAGTATGTAATTCATCATGTGGATGATTATTTTTTGGTTGTAAATACTTACCCTATACTCTGTAAAAATAAGCATGTTCTCCAAATTCTAAATGTATGTAATGCATTTTACTAGCAGTAACAAGTAACAAATTTTTATTATTAATGACTTATAAATGACAAAATTTTTGTTGCAGTTCATATTAAACTTATAGCATTATTTAAGTGTACCTACTTACGTACAACGGAATTTTAAAACTATTTTAAGTCGGTGTTTCATTAACATTTTTCAGTAAACACTAATAAATCTGTAGGTTGATGAACCCTTAAGTTTAATTTATTATAAAAGATTATTTTAACTTATTATAAACAATTAATTTTTATTTGGGATATTAAGGCACAAAAAAGTTGTTTTTCATCAGCCTACATATTTTGACATTCGACTGTAAAATTTTCGTATTTAAATTGAAAATTTAAATAATTTGATACATATTTTTTTATGTTAATGGTTTCATGAATTACTGACAAAGATGTTAATGAGAAGCTATAAATTGCTAGCTTGATTATATCCAAATGAATTTTTAACTATGGAGCTCATAAAATATGTGTGTTGACTGCGTTTAATTTATGAGTTTGATTTAGCTTTATACAGATCAGAGTAAACTACAGGAATCTTTAACACCGACCCCTAATTAGAAATTTACCGTTTAAAATTACTTTTTGAAACCTTTCAGAGTCAAAGTTGTTTCATTAAAAATAAATTAAAAATTAGTTACTTTGGCGATGGCCACAAGTAAAGGGAAATCCTACATATTATCCACAAAAAACGCATTGCTTAAATTTGTGTGATTTAAATAAAAATCGTTATAGCAAATTATGTTCATTTGAAGTCTAAAAGCAAGTCAGAGATTTAAAAAAACATTGCTTTTAAATATTTCAGCTTCAAGTATGGTATAAACATTCAAATTTTGAAGACAAAACTTCGACCGACGGTCTCCAAGTATGTTGAATATCATCATCAGATTTATTTAAAATTTATATTTTGATGTTGTGCATTTTTTATTACAAACTAAATGATTTTTTTTTTAATTATGTATTCAATAAATGGGATGGCAAACAACGAAAATTAAATGATGTGGCGTTTCTTCCAATTTAAATTTTGTACTTCTGAGTTATAATTTATAAAAACACCATACGATACCGACATATAAAAACACAAGTTCATAATTCCACAAAATGGCGAAATAATGAAAATGCGCATTTTTAGAAAACGACAAACAAAATAGCAAAAATAAAATATTATAAGAATTATTAGAGTTATTCCTGATAAAAGTGGTAAATATTTATTGTAAAAGTTTAACGAATTAAAAATTAAAGATTCCTTATCAAATGCTTGCACACAATCTGATTAAATTTAACCTGCAGCGACGGAAAATAGCTTATGTGTATGTTTTTCTACCCATTAAATTAAAAAAAAACTTACCGTGCTGTATTCTGAAAAACTTAATTTCAATAATTTTCTGATTGCACCGATTTTTTGAACTTACTAATTTTTACATATTTTTAATCAACACTCGTGCGTGTGCTCACTTCATCATTATGCCAAAACCTTTTATTTATTAATTGAAATATCGTTAATTTTGTGGTTTATCAACACCCCAGTTAAAATGTTCAGTCCTCCCCTAAAAATTTGTGATTGTCAAATAAACTCCTACTAAAAATAGTCTCGTTTTCTGATCACAAAATTGTCACTACGGTGTTGATTACAATCCTAAAAGAGCTACACCTGTCGTTTATTATTGCATCAAATCGTGACTTGATAATGCATTTTAAAACGACGTATGCTCTGCTCTACTGGGCTTAAATATCGCTGGTAATTTCATAAAAGCGTTTGTGCATAATACGGCATTTTTTCTGCGTCTAAAGAACATGCTTGCTGGAAAAAATAACCTTCTATATAAGCGTATCGAATTCCTGCTGGTTTGGCTTGCGATAATGAGTTCCCGGCAATAAGTAATAACTTTTATAAGCAATCGATACCGAGAACACGTCTGCTAGCCAGTTCGGTCCTCGTAACGTATTCAACCGTCAAATCGCGTTACTTCAAATGAATTCCTCTGAGATTCTTCTGTGTCCGGATTCATCGAACAAAGACGGTCTCACTGCTGCAACCGACCGGGACTTGTTCTCTCTACGTTCGCGTTATGGATATGGAATCTGGGCGGTCCCAGAAGGCGGGGATTATGAACGAGCAACAAGTGCGTTATATTTATGAATAGTTAGACGCCGCCCAGCTGTCATAACCAGGATCCTGGCTGGTCGGCTACAAGCACTTTGTCATCTCTCGCGCTTGCTCCATCTTCCCCTACATATCATCCCCACCAGTTTCATATCTCATTTAATAATATACCGACCTATGCTGGCAAAGCGCACGCCCTTGTTTATGATTAAGGACGACGGAAAATGAGAGGAAAGCTCGAGAAATGTTTTTGTGGTGTTTGGTGATGATGTTTGTTTTTTCACGACAAATTAAGCAATGAATTAATTTAGCTTTTATGTTTTCAGATGAACCTTCGGCATGCATCGATCGGGATATGTCGTTGGCTTCGTCGCAAGATCTGCCTGATGTACTGATGTGTCAGCGATGTCAAGAACAGTTCACCGATCTTCAGGAGTATTTAACGCACAAGGCCGAATGCGAGAAAAAGGCTATCAAGCATGACGATCCCGCTCATTCCGACCCTGAAGACATGGTGATTTCCGAAGAAGACGAGGACGACGACGACGCGGGTGGAAAGCGGTTGGAGCGAATGCGTCGACATCGACAAGACGCCGCAAACAATAATAGTGTCGAAGAAAATTCTCCGGACGAAAACAGTGCGCGACTGACCTTTCCGTTTACACTTCCTTCTGCACCGGGACATGTGACACTGGAGGCCCTCCAAAATACCAAGGTTGCTGTGGCTCAGTTTGCGGCTACAGCTATGGCTAACAACACGGACAATGAAGCGGCTCTTCAAGAATTGGCTGTACTGCAATCTACTCTGTTTACTTTACAACATCAACAAGTCTTGCAGTTACAACTTATAAATCAGTTACAACAACAACTTCAAATTGATAGGTCGAAAGCAGCGAGTCCCGTTTCACCACCGCCGTCAGAAAACGATGGCGATAACGCACCGGCAGAAGCGTCACCACCTCCCCAAAATCTTCCAGTGTCGCGGGAACCGACTCCAGCGCCGATAATTCAACCACCGATCAATCAATCCATTACACAACAGCCTTCAGAACCTTCGGAAAATCAAATGACTGAAATTCATGTTCCTTGCTCTCTACCTCTACAGTCGCAACATTGTTCCATTTCGTCGTCACTGGCTTCTACAATTATCACTCACAACAATGAACCACCTTCTTTAGATGAACCAAATACTTTAGAAATGTTGCAAAAGAGAGCTCAAGAAGTATTAGACAACGCCAGTCAGGGACTGTTAGCCACAAACCTAGCCGACGAACTAGCGTTTAGAAAAAGTAAAGGTTCTTTATCTCCGTATGATTCAAAAGGACGAAATGAGCCCTTCTTTAAGCATCGGTGTAGATATTGTGGTAAAGTTTTTGGATCTGATTCGGCATTACAAATACATATCCGTTCTCATACCGGAGAACGCCCCTATAAGTGCAATGTTTGCGGTAGTCGTTTTACTACCAAAGGCAATTTGAAAGTACATTTTCAAAGACATAGTGCAAAATTTCCTCATATCAAAATGAATCCAAATCCGGTTCCGGAACATCTTGACAAATATCATCCACCTTTGTTGGCCCAATTAGGGCAACAACCTTCGTTATCTCCAGGCGGTCCTCCACACCCACCTCACATGGGCTTCCCCGGAGGACACCATTTCCCTCCTACTTCTTTACCATTGTACAGGCCTCATGGACCACCACCTCCTGATTTAATAAACAGCAGATTACAACCCTCGCCTCACAGACCACAGGATCAACCACAAAGGTTATTTCCACCACATCCGCTTTTTATGAAACGAGAGGAACAAGAAGCTCCCGAAAATCTTAGCAAACCAATAAGATCTCCAACTCCCATACGAGAAACCCACCCGTGCAAGACGGAAGTTTCCGAGGAGAAACGTGAATATCACGAAGATTCACATACGACATCCACTGTTCCTCAGATAACACCAAAACAAGAACCAAACGATCCCGATAATGACGTAGAACACGAACCCGAACGCTATTCTTCCCCTACTCCGTATGACGAATGTAGTATTGACAGTAGTAAATACAGCAACGAAGATATGCTGGGAACGAGGAGTCCGGGTGCAGATCAGTCGGAAAATATGCAGGACGAACCAGAAAATCTCTCCAATAAAAGTAATTCCATAACAGTTCCTTTGAGTATTTCCACGGGTCAGAGGTTGCCCGCGAATTTTTCGTTCGGACAAGTGAGTTCTCCGCCTAGCAGTACGTCGTCAGGTAGTTTAGGACCATTTCCAGCAACCGCGTTGGTCGATCCAGCTAAAGACCCCGCTATCTACTCGAATTTATTACCAAGACCCGGAAGCAACGACAACTCATGGGAAAGTCTGATAGAAGTAACAAAAACTTCGGAAACTAGCAAACTTCAACAGCTAGTTGACAATATCGAACATAAACTTTCAGATCCAAATCAGTGTGTGATATGTCATCGAGTGTTGTCGTGCAAAAGCGCTTTGCAGATGCATTATCGAACTCACACCGGCGAACGGCCTTTTAAATGTAAGATTTGCGGTCGGGCATTCACCACTAAAGGCAACCTTAAAACACATATGGGTGTGCATCGAGCTAAGCCCCCTATGCGTGTCTTACATCAGTGTCCGGTTTGCCATAAAAAGTTCACAAACGCTTTAGTTCTTCAGCAACACATTCGCCTGCATACGGGCGAACCAACTGATCTCACTCCAGAACAAATACAAGCTGCAGAAGTTAAAGAATTTCCCTCTCCAGGAGGTTTTCCTTCGCTTCATAATTCCATTAATCCATTCCTAGGGCAAGGATTTGCCGTTCCTGGTTTGTCTCCGTTGGGTTCCACTGGACTTCATGTAAATCAAAAATTCGACAAGTTTGACAAAGATGAACACGAATCAATGGACGACGATGACGATGATGACGACGAAATCAGTAATTCCGAAAATCAAAATCCCCCATTTGTTTCATCGCCATCAGACATGCAAGGCGTGCCAACGACCGCGACTTCTCACTTATCTGGAAGCGGATTAAGTTGTTCTGCTGAAGACTTGTGCTCGAACAGAACGGTGGCGTCTGCGTCTCCGGTCCAAAATGGTGAGAAATCGCCTTCCCAGTCTGGTATCACTAGTCCAGGAAGCTCAGAAATTCGTTCTTCGCCGAATCGAATTTCGACAACGCCCGTCCAGGTAAATTTTACAGTCAGTGTGAATGGATGAAATTTTACTAAGCTTATTTGTTGTTAGATTCCACGTCCACCTTCGTCACAACAAGCCGGCAGTCCGACCCCTTCTGAGTGCAATTCTCTGGGTGCTTTAGATTTAACACCCCGAACTAACCAGCCTTTAATCACAAGTCCGGGTCCGAGTCCTGGTCCTCCACCATCTCTATTTTCAACGTTTGGATTGATACCACCAGGTCAAGGTTCTACACCCTTGATGTCGTCAGCACTTTCATCGTTGACGTCGTCTGTTCTGACATCAACAGCTTTCAGTCCATTGCGTTTAGCTGTTGGCCCACCAGGTAAAATTGTAACATTGTTCTCGACAGCTAGTTGAATGAACTTTGACTAAGACGTTTTCGATTTAGGACGTGGGAATACCACCTGTAACCTATGTTTCAAGACTTTCGCCTGCAATTCAGCTCTGGAAATTCATTACAGAAGTCACACTAAAGAACGTCCTTTTAAATGTACTGTCTGCGACAGAGGCTTTTCAACGAAGGTACGTCAGATGAGCTGTCTTTAAATGCATGTGATTGAATTGAGAAATAAAAGCGAGCTATTTTTGTGTACACAATAGAGTTGGCGACATCTCGAATTAACTGTTGGCTTTAAGCCAGCTATAAGTTATGTCGAATGTCTAAGTGGTCTATTTTTGATTAAGAATCTCACTTTTATATTCGTCTTCATTTTAAAATGATAAACATCCTAATGGTAGACATACACGATAAATCGATAAATAATCACGTGTCACCCGATGCTTGAGTACATTTTGTTTTTCTGTCGAGCATATGCTTTAATATTCAGAATTTATTTTTCACCTTAGATGACGTGCGGGAACATTCGATATATTGCGAAAATATCTTTTTCAATATATAATAAATTACTCCCATAATAATTTATTATTCAAAATAATATTCCAGGAGAGATGTGTGTGCAGAGAGAGGCGTATCCAGGATGAAGACGAGCCTTGGAAAGCATGTAAAAGGAAGCCTGCTCGTCGCAAGACAATACCATCGGTATTTCCTCTACCGATGAGCCCTGGATACGCCTCAAACTGGATGCATATCGCGGTAAGAGCCGCCTCTTACCGGCAATCCTTTTCAACTCCTTCATGGAATTGTTTCTTTTTCAGGGTAATATGAAGCAGCACATGTTAACACATAAAATAAGGGACATGCCTCAGCATATGTTTGAAAATAAACCTCCTATCAGCGGAGAGGAATCTTCGCAACAAACACAGCAAAATTTACCTCCACGAGAAGCACAATCCGGTGAAGGGGAACAGCCGAATGCACCCACACAACCTGCCGCAAACGAACAAAATAAGGAGCAACCAGTTAAGAGAGAACCAACTGAGACTGAACTGCCTTTGCCAAAGCGTCCACCCAGTAAGTGTTTTTCGTTTTTTATATCTTTACTATTTTTGACCATATTTGGAGTTCATACCACTTTTTTGCTGTATTTTGTTAATTTATAAAAAAAAATCGGTTAGGCTGTATTGGTTTGGAAAAAATCTCATGTTTACCTCCTTATTGCAAAGTATATTACGTCTATGAAAGTAATATTTAATGGTGACTACATTTTGTGTAAATAAGAGTGACCATAAGCGATACGATTAACCTTGTTGTCATCGCTTGCACTAACTAGCTGGTTGTGGGCTCATGTGTGTTGTGTGTGTGTTTGCAGGCTTACAGGCCAGTAAGCACTTGTGCCACGTATGCAATAAGAACTTCTCGTCCAGCTCGGCCTTGCAGATACACATGCGTACGCACACGGGCGATAAGCCGTTCAGATGCACCGTGTGTCAGAAGGCCTTCACCACCAAAGGAAACCTTAAGGTAAGAACTGGCTTGCGCTTCACTAACGCCACTAACGTGGGACTGGAGCCGTATGCACATATTACACATTTATTTTTTATCACCTCATTGTGGTAAAGGGCCATTTAGTAGTTACATCGTCTCTTTTAGTTTGTTGCCTGGATGTGATCATGTGCATATGTAAATCTATATTTAACCGGCGATACGTCGACCAACTTAATGAATGTATTTGGTGATTGTCTCCAGGTACATATGGGAACTCATATGTGGAGCAACGGAGCATCACGTCGAGGTCGGCGCATGTCTCTAGATCTGCCTCCCATTCCCATGACACCCAAGGATTCAGAATTTCTGCAGCGGAGACCCGACCTTTTTTATCCGTACCTACCGGCTCCATTCCTTAACGGCATGCAGCAAAAGGTAAGAGGAAAAAATGTAAGAAAGTATGGAGCGATCACATTATAATTTTATTAGCATTATTAATTTTGGTTTCTAAGCTTAAGTCGGAATTTCGAGTTTAAATCATGCAACATACTTGCCATAAAAATAGGAGTATGTGAATCTAACACCTGATAAATTCATATTTCTACTGTAATCAAATATTTACAACAAACTTCTAGGTTAATAAGAGTAATTAGCAACAAGTTTGCACTGTAAATTTATGCAAACTATGTAAGAAGTGAATAAACAAAGTATCTGTAATGGCCGTTACTTAACAGAAAATATAAATAAAGGTTATGAATGTGCTCACTGAAAATGGTTTGAACTATTTAAATGTACTGTGTGCCCAAATAATTAAACTTTTAGGGCATTTGGGACTACTGAAGAGTTCGATTTGATGCATCCATGCGAAACTTCCAATTAATGGATTTGATAAAATTTAAAAAAAACTTCAATGATGAGAGAACCCAGTTTATATTTTAGATAAACAAAGTTAACCTTAATACTTAAATGAACGATAACAAAACACTTGTTTCGTAAGCACTGAAATTATTATTATTAGAGAGCGGATTTTATGAAATTTGCATATCCGTTATTTTTTGCATATAAGTCTTGATATTTAATATGTGAACGAATCATGCTAATTAAAAACGAATACAGCTATAAAAAAATTGCATATTTGCATATATTTGCCTTCTGCTGCATATTTCACGTAACGGGTGCATATTTTGCATTTTTATCAATTTTTGTGCTAATTTGAAAAAAAATGATTGTTATTCTATCAGCATGTATCTAGAAAGACGAAATTTCATGAATCATATTGCAAATATTGTCCTGATCTTCAAATACATATCTAGTAAAGGTTTGGGTTTTATGGTAGTTTGGAGAATCCATTGGGTGTTAAGCCATTTTTCCAGGTAAATTTGGGCCCTAATTACTTTTGGAAATACCGTTCATTCCCAATATTTTTGTTCGTTACTTAAGTGTATTAATGGTATGTGTTATGGTGGTTGAAGGGACGTTACCCTATTATTTTTCTTCGTGAGTTTGCATTGAAAGCATTTAAAGCGATACATGTGTGTTAATATGTCGAAGATAACTCAAATTAATTTATGGATTAAACCTTTTCCTGAACTTATTCTTCAAGAAGGAACTGTTTTGTCGCGTCTGCTCTAAACCGGTAAGGATTTTTATATCTGTGGACATAGTACACAGTTTTTCTATTCCAATACTTTAGAATCATCGGAAAACTTTTGGTTAGAATATTTCGAAAAATATTTAAAAATAAATTGTTACCAAAATAGTAATTAAATAGTCTAGATTACTACTAATTTTGTAATTTGTAAATAAATTTAGTTCGGTTATTACGCTTTTTTTTAGTTTTTGGAGCATATGCAGCTGCATATCTCTGCATATATTAAGAAAGTTACTGCATATTTGCATAAATTTGGTGCATATCATATGATCATATTTCCCAAAATTTTGCTGCATATTTTCCGCTCTCTAATTATTATTATACATTGTTAAACAGTGAACACAATCTTTGAAACCCACTGCTTATTGACTGAATGACGTGTTATTAATTTTGATTGCTAAGTAGTTTTTTTTTTTTTTTAAATGGTGCTTCGTTCGTTCTGTATACATGCAACCACAATCTTTGGAATAATAGACATAGCTCTTGTATTCAATAGGTAACAATGGATTAGCAGTTTTATTGTATCATTGTTTATGCATCAAAATAATGAAAATCCGTAGAAAATTGCGGTAAAACAAATGATAAGGTTCATTATCTGTTAGTTACACTTTTTCTGTTAATAAATCGTAATTGATGAACAAGTAAATGTGTTTATGATAACCATTTTCTCAGCAACTGTTTCCTAAAATTTATAGTTTGTTTTCAGAATTTCTTGACCTAGTAAAAATTGAGTTGCCTTAGTAAAAATCAACATTTGGGTAGTATAAAAATTTAAAAGTCGCCAGTTTTATGATGTCTGATTTATGATTTTCATTATGCCTTAATTTGATCAGAGCAAAACCATTAAGTATTTGGTAAACGTTTATGAACCGCCGAATCCAAAATTAGAGCAAAAATTGGTTCCATAAAAATTGTCACATTATTATAGTAGCATATGTACATAAGTACTCTTAAGTAGTGCCACATAAGAATTCTAATTTATCAAGGGTATATTTGCAATTTGTCCATAATGCATACAAATTTTGTAATTTTACTGCGTTACTTTGTTATCCTGGATGGATGTTGCAAAAACATTTGAGATGCGCTAGACACTACGATTACTGAAAAAATTGATTGGCAAGTACTAGATATCGTAAATGACGGGAAATTGAAGAAGAGAAGACAACTCATATTTTATTTTATGTTGTGATTACTTTTGTAGGTTCACTAGTACTAGTTAAATCTTTAATCCAACTAACAAAAATGGAAATGTTAAAAAAAAAATAATAAAAAAAATGGCATTCAATGTGGAACAATTTAAAGAAGAGTTATTAATTCATGTGGTTGCATTCGAGCGTCAGAGTAAATCACTTTCTATTTTATTTGTCGCTTGTATTGCTGAACTGCACTGATTATTAAAAAAGCAAAAAAAAAGAAATAAAAAAAATGGTTATATGAAGACAGTAAGAGATCGGGCTGTACATATGTAAGATACTAGAATGTATACATATTGGTGCTTTCGTGTTTGCAAAATATATCTTATTTTTTTCCGAATTTACAGCAATGGGGGTTTGTAGCTAGGAATTCCAACTTTCTGAAACGAAAATGATAAAATCATAACATATCCCGCTATCCTTTTATTTAGAATCTAGAAACCGCATATTATGTAGATTCCTTTATTTACATTTTCCTTGTGTTACAGCTGAACGAAATGTCAGTAGTACAGAATAATCAAAATGGAATGAGCGGAGCCGGCAAGTACAGTGGTCTATTGGGTTTCGGCTACCCACCGCCAGAGTCGCTGCGATCGCAGGGTGGTTCACCGGAACGACCCGAGAGGCCTCCCAGTCGCGAACCGGAGTCCCGGAGTTTGTGGGATCTCCATTTCGAACGAAAATCGGCCCCGGAAGCCCCCCGAGAAGAGCTGTTGCCGGCGAGCAGAGAGGGCTTGGCTGCCTGAAACTGGAATGGCTACCATGTTCCTATTTCAACTAGTCTAAGAGCGGATCGGGGCAATGCATACTGTGATACATCAGCCGTAAAAGCTGCAGGGACAGCCACTAATACTGCTGTGTCTTCTTAGAGTTATTTTCAATATTAGAACTTGTATCATAATAGTTAAGTGTATATGACTTAATTCGTATATCGTTTGCTGTGTTAATATACGTGTCGGGGACGCTGGCGATGCCAGTTTCTAGCTTTACTACACTCTGTATATAAATACTACATAAATGCATTTGAGAATCACTGTAACGTATGTTTGATGTTGTCCATGAGTTTGTTGAACCTGCTTAGCAGGTAACATGGCATTCAATGTATATATCACTCTGTACGATGAGACTGTTTCATATTATTGATGTAATGCTTTCCCCCTACCTTCCTTCCTTCCTTCCCCGTTTAAAATCCTTACATTTTCTCACTTAATTCAACTTTTATTTTTGGTTTAGATTACCTGTTCATGATCTATCCTCAAGATGACATTAATACGTATCTGAATTGATAGATATTGTTTGTAAACATATGAGATTTATAAAAATAATACAGTGTAAATGTAAGTAATTTGAAATGTTTTTATTTCAGGATGAATGTACAAATATTTTTAACTGGTGCGCTATTTAACTATGTCTGTATTTATAAACTCGTACAAACCAGTTAAACTCTGTTTAATTATAAAATATAAATATTTATCACATATAATTACGTAGTCTTTTTTTCCCGACATTACTCTCAAAATTAAACTGAACGTAGACTTTGGAAGTAATAAATTTCCAAACACAAATTAAAGGTATTGAAATATTATTATGTATGTTAGCTTATGAGTTATGATGACAGACTGATCACGGAATAATTCGCACGTTCTTTCAATCGGTTGTCTGACCGTAACAAATAATAATTTAAGGAAATAATATTGGCAAGCTTTACTTCAGGGTAATTGCTTTGATTTCAAAATTGCATAATTTCACTAGATAAATATTCTAGTTTATATGAAACTGTTTATCTAACCATAATTTGATAAAAAATAATCCCTGTATGACTAGAAACACGCATGTTCGATCGTAACTTAAATCCACAAACTTTAATCAAATTAAGTACTTTGTTGAATCCGTGTATCGAGTACGCTAGCCTGCAAATTCTAATTTATCATGCAGACAGCACAGTTGTGGTTAATACCAATTTTTGGTTTAACTACAGGTTTAATTAGGGAGAGTAAGGTATTCAGTTGCTACAATATTTTAAATTTAAACACAATTTAAAACATATTCGCATTTTTAGTGTGACTTTCACAAGGTAACCGATCGAATATACTTTGACATAGAAAGTGACGGAAAGTACTTAGGCAAAGTAGTAATAGGACTTTTCGGCGAAGTTGTTCCCAAAACTGCACTGAACTTTAAAAAAATTGCAACTGACGGGATAAATGGTGTAACGTATGAAGGATCAAAATTTCACAGGGTTGTTGAAAGATTTTTAATTCAAGGTAAGGAACAGGTGTAACATAAATTTCTGTGTAAGTTTCGTTTTAAAAAATATTAATAACTACTGAGATCGTGTTTAAGGAGGAGACATAGTGTACAACAACGGGACAGGTACAATTAGTATTTACGGGAAATTTTTTGACGATGAAAATTTTGTGATAAAGTTCAATGGACCAGGAATTGTCGGCATGGCCAACGGAGGTTAGTCGTACCTTTCGCACATTTATGTTAATGTAGTGCACAATCCACATAAACAGATCTTTTATTTGTTTCCCTAATAAATAAAAATTCATCTCTTTGCTTGATTCAACATTTTTCATTGCCACATTTTTCAAAATTCTTCTGAACAATCAGAAACTTAGAGCAGATTAATTCACCATCAATAATTAAATCTAGACTTCAATAACAATTGTATTTAACAGTTTTTTTTTTTTACTCTGTAGGACATAATACGAATGGATGCCAGTTTTTTATAACTACCATGAGCACACCATGGCTGGACGAAAATCATGTGGCTTTTGGAAAGGTAGTAAAGAACATCTTTTAATAAAATAGATATGTGTGCACCTAGAAAACAGTAGATTAACAAACATGGTTCAAATTTTCGATTTGGTAAAGCCTAAATAATTATTTACACACTCGAAAATTGGAGCCATTTTTGTAACTAGGGTAACTAGAGAATGATTCAGTATTAAAAAATTGGTCAAAGGCTTTTTCAACAGAACTTCTCTCCTGACGTACAATACGTATCCAACTTTTTCGAAAAATTACTAAAATTGAGGCTTTCATTAGTTTTTTTGAGGCACCGTGTAATCAATGTCCTGTAGGTATAAGCAATTCTAAACAAATTGCAACAGAGCGTGGAGCGCACATGTAGAGGCAAAATGTAATATATTTCAAACAAAAAACCAGCGGGAAAACATGTTTTCTCGGTGTCTCTCGGCCGTTTATGTTTATACATATTTCGAAAGAATTCCCTATAAGTACGTTTCGATGATAACCGTCTGCGTTAAAATGAAATGAAATTTGATTGTTTTTGTCTCCTCAAAAAATACGAGAGGACAAATTTTATTAATTAAGGTACAATGGATCACAACGGGCCGAAAAAGGAGCATGCTATGCGCATGTTTCAAGTGAATTTTTCCATAACAAAAATTTGTGATATCGTCATAAATATAGATAATATTAGTCACACAGCATGCAAAAAAAAATGGTCCAAGGACGTCGAGAAAACATGAAATTTTCAAGTCTCCCGATGGACTTCCTTAGCTTACGCTCCGGAAGTAATGATATAATTTTATTTCATTTATTTATAATTTAGTATAGTGAACCATTTTTCAGGCAAAAAAAAAGGAGTGCACAATTTTTTATGGATTGTAATAAGTTTCCAGAGAAATACGTGTACTATGTATAAATTGTTTTAAATGTATGAACTAGTGAACATGAATTAGCAAACAGTTGCATTTCCAATTAGTTTTGTTTTTGTTTTATTTTCAAATTAGTAAAATCACTGTGAAAAACTGCCGAGTTAAAATTTTTGAAAAACCGCTAGTTTGTCTTCTTCAATTTTATCCATTAATGTTGTTCAGAATAATAAAGTTACGAAAAGTATGATATTGAAAGGCGGCCCTGGTTTTCGGTGATATGACAATACCTCCTATCTAAAATCCTAGACATTCTATTCATCTAGGTAAATATAATAAGTAGTCTTGTAAAATTTTGATGTTGTTAATTTATTTCACTGGTTCGTAGTAAGGTGCCTTCTAATTATTTTAGTATCATAATTCATAAAATAAACAAAATCCACAAATAATATTATTTTTGAGTCTGCTTTTTAGGTGCTGAATGGTCAAGACATCGTTCATAGAATTGAACATCTCAAAACAGATAGCAATCACGTTCCTTTAAATAATGTGCTTATAATTCAGTCTGGGCTTATTGAAACAACTCCTTTCTACGAATCTGATGAACCATACGAGTAAGTGTAACATACCGGTAGCACCACCTTTAACAAGGCGCTGTGAATTGAGACATTATAATAAGAATACGACAAAGATTTAACTAGAGCACCGTGGCGCATTATTTTAACTTGTGTGATTCATTATTTTCCTAGGACACAACGTAGTAAGATGAATCGACTTTAAGTTTGAAAAATTTGTGTTTATTTCTTGAAACTATTATGGTTTGTATATACCGGCTGATGAATCAGTTTTTACGATGTAGGATATGAGTTTCATACGTGAATTTGAATAACTGAGTAACAAAAATTTGTATATATTTAAGTAAAAGACGCTTTCCAAATAAGGTTTTCTATTTTTCTTGAAAAACAGTCCTAGATTATAGGCATCTAAATCTCAGTTTTATACAAAACAGATGGAGTCGTAAATTAAAAAAAAAAACTTGACGATCGACAGCAAACATGAAGTTTTTTGTTGATCGCCGAGATAGGGCACAGGATCCAAGCTAACTGGCAATAAATTTGTGTTGAGTTCGAACCAGTTTTTTAAATAAATGTTTAATGAAAGTTAAAAATACGTTATTTTTATATGCTTATTTATTTTTTCATCCAATAATGTCTTTCAAAAGCTCCATATTACTTTGTGTAATGTGTATATATGTATAGAAGTAATATGTTAATTTTTTTTTAGATTAACTTTGTGGGCTTGGATCAAAGCAGGCTGGTTTCCGCTTTCATTTTCCATCGGAATTTTATTATTCTTTCACTGGTTTATGATTCAGTTAAAATGAAGATATCAGAATAAAGTACGATGTTTTGCAATTTTTACTGTGTGTTTAAGATATACATATAAATCGAACATATGTTGCTAATTGGACTTGACTTTTTGTCTTCGACATGTTCGCATTCATCCGAAAGTTAGTTTTAAGTTTATTGTCGTTTCAAACGGACCTTTGAATTGAAGTAATGCAAATTATGTGTTGGTTGACACTTCATACGTGTCACGCACGCTTTTGTCTTCTCGTTACCTACTTCAAATCAAAGTGAGTAAGTTGATGCAAGATAATGGCCTTACTCGCTATTATCTTTTATAAATATATATTTTCTAACGTTTACCTGTTTCCATTCTGTGTTACAGATGAAAGATGATACTTGAAATAATTTAATACAAACAAACTTAGAAATAATCGACAATAGTATAAAATAATAAACTATCCCGTTTCAGAAAAGAATGTTTTTTCGACAAAATAACCTCCTTTTCAATTTTTGTTTGAGTTATTTTAGTGCTATTAATTAATGTCACAAATGTTATAATATAATAGTGGAAATACCCCAGGTAAAATTATTCTCTTTCTATCTTATGCACTTTGTGTTGGACAAAAAATTACCAAATTTTGAGTGTGATAGAAATTTTATGTCAAATTTTGAAATTTGTCATCAGAATTATTTGTTGATATAACGTTTTACTACTCTATTTACTTAATTCTGAACAATGAAATTATTTAGTGATCAAGCAAAACAAGTAATATTAAATGTGTTGGATTATCTAGAAAGAAGTGTGTGCAATAAAAAAAAAAAAAACTGGCGGCCGAAATGTTAAAAATTTCTTGAAAATCTTTATATAATTTACAAAGAATATAAGTTCAAGTGATACGGAGTACAAAAAGAATATGTTCACTATAATTAAAAAAATAAAAACTGAAGTAAATGCTGAATGTCAGTCGGGGAAATTGTGTATAAAATGTGCATCAAACGAACACGCAACAATTAAGTCGCTCCATGAAAGAGATACCGGGTCCAGGTTAGACCCAGTACACTAAACTAAACACATGGATTAGAAAAGTAGATTTTAAATTTTATAAACATAATAATCGATTGTTTCTAATGGAAAGACCATCCATTAAGCTAAGAAGAACAAAATTTTTGCGTGAGTATTAGCACCACAAAAAATAAAATTATACAAACCCCTTTTTCTAGATGAAGCATGGATATTTAGTAAAGGTAGTATATATTAAAAAAATGGCAAGACGATTCAACACAAACTGTAATTAATAAAAAAACAGGAGAAGGATGTAGATATACGGCAGTTCACACTGACAATAATCACGAGTTTACTGAAGGCGATTATCATGATAACATGAACTAGGAAAATTTTGAAAAGTGGTTTAAAAAGCAATTAATATCCAATCTTCCGGAAGCGTCTCTTATTATTATAATGGATAATGCAACTTACCACCGTAGACTTAATGGTCTTTATTTTAGTTGTGATAAGTACACTATGCTTACATTTCCGCTTTAGTTGTAGTAAGAAATTCCTCGAAAGCGTTGGACAAAGAAAAAAATGGTGGCCTGCTTAAACAAAAAAAGATAGATTATCCTGAAATAGCGATGAAAGTTCAGATTTGGAATATTGTGCGCAATAGACACAATAGAAAAATTGTGTTACTTAGATCACTTAGATCACTATGCTCAAGAACATGGACATTGTGTCCTAACACTTCCGCCATGCCACTGTCATTTTAATGCAATTGAAATGCTTCTCTAGTTGATGTTACTGAAAGCTTGGGACAATATAATAAACCAAGTTCCCAAAATACACTGGGGAAATAATATATTAAGCACATGGAAAAATTTTGATTCGGCATGGCAAATAATGGAAACGATTCTGGAGAATTGTGAAACAAATCACATCATTTATCAATGTTAATTCCGTTGTAGATGATAGTGATAGTGAAGATGATGACAGTAGTATTGATGATTTAGAGTTGTGTTAAAAATTAATATGCAATTAAAGAATAGAACTTATAAATTATTCAATTAATTTTGAACTTCTGCAATTTGCATTGATAACTATAGTACATGTTACCATAACAAGTTATTTGTAACATTCAAGAAAGCACATACTTTTGGTCACTAAAAAAACGTCACAGTTTATTATACTTAAATGTTTTGAATAGGAATACTTTCACGACTTTAATACCTACTTTTACATTTATCAGTTGTTGGTTAACAACATAACAACACAATTAAAAAATATGATTTAAAGATTATGGTAGATGAACTGAATCTGAAAAAATGTATATTTTGTATTAATCATAATTCTTCGAAAAATTAAATTTTGTGATTTTTTTTATGATAATCCCGACAATTATATTTAAAATAAAGATATGTGTGGACATGTATCAATTTGAATAGTAGAATTGTAATACTAATAATAACTATGCAGCGTGATAATTTCATTTCTTCAGCCTGGATAAGCCCGAATAGGCAACACATTTTACTTTCCTTAAACGACTTCGTCTTAAATTTTTTATAAATACGCAGTTAGCGCTGTGTTAATAATAATAAAGGGGGGTAGTTTGAGTACTTATCATAGAAAACCTATTTATTTATATTATTTTATTTATATTCGTTTAAGGATCGAATAAATTACGTTCTATTTTTTTTTTAATTTTGCCATTATTAGTTGCTTGGCGTCTTTGTTGTTATTATGATATAGTATGATTTTTGCGCTGTTGCTAATTTAAAAAGATTAATTAAACTGATCGAAGTTGTTTATGATATGTATAATGTGTTGCATGCAGGAAAGTATTCAGGCGTGAAAAATAAAATAAACACCCTGTACATACTCAAATTTCCGGGAAAATAGGGTGAACCGTTCTTGATTTGATCAATGAAATTGATTGTCTCAATCATGAATTTTTTGGAGTCATCTAGTGCAACTATATAATTCTAAAGAATATGAACGTTTTAATAAACTACAATTAACAAAATCATCTTATGTCAGTGACTATGTATTTAACATCTATACTCACTGCTTATGTTATAAAATGCAGGTAAGATTTACTGTTGTAAATTTTAGGGATGGCTTCATCCCATTGTTGGTGGGAATGACTAGGCAAATTTTGGTTAGCGTTTTACCATTTACACGATATTTCTAAAATATGTACATACAAAATTTTACGATAATCGGTCGTGTAGTTGTGAAGACTATTTGTCTAATAAAAATTGACACAGATGGAGATGGGGGACGACCGACAGACGTAAGGGGGAGACCATTTTTTTTTGTAGCCTTGCAGGGGTCATGAAACGTCGAGAAAATATTTTCGGATGGACTCTATTGCAATATTTCATTAGTTTACGCTAGGGTAGTAAAAATATGGTCAATAAATTAAATTTTTCTATAGCAGATGTTAAAAAGTCTTTTGGTCGACTCAAAATAAAAGGCTATAAGTAGCACTTTCGTCGCAGGGGTAGATAAAGTAACGCTTTAACAGCAAGGGCAGATAATAATTACTTGTTTATCAAGGACGAAAAGTGAGCGTCGCTGCCTAGTCGGGAAGTTTTGCGTACGAGGGGTAGCCGAGTGACAGCGAAGCTTTTTTGTCGTGGTGGACACAATTGTTTTTCACTAGTAAGTACTTCTAATTACATTTTTTTGAAAATTGTAGAATAAAATAAAAAAAAACAATTATCCTTTAGATCGTATGGACTGGTTATGGATGCTATAAGATGATATTAGTACATACATTTTTATTTCAAAAAAGTTAAAAGTTGTGCATTAAAAATGGAAAATAGGGGAAATACGTTTGACCAAATCCGAGACGAAATTGAACTTATTTGCGACAATTTGCGCCTGAGGATATCACGAAACAAGCGCAGCTAGTTGAGGCAGGTCTGCTACCCGAAAAATCGAAACGTAACTACCTTAGTGAATATGAAACGCTTTTGGAGTGAAGTGTGAAGAAGACGGGAGTCAATGAGGCACTGGCTATGGGTTACTTTTTGAATTATTTGAAAATCTCAAGGCATCAACTTTATGGAGCCGATAAAATAAAATAAAATTAGCTTAAAGTTACCTTGTGTTTTATTTATTGGAGTTATAGTTGTCACAGACAGAGAGGTAAATTACAGGCTGAGAAGTGCCACTTTTTTGCCCGAAAATATTTCAAAAATAGGCACTTAGAAGCACGTATGTGAAAAAGTAATTTATTTCTGTCAAGTACATCATTATTGTCTATTAATAATAATAGAAGCACATTTTCACTAATGTCACTGATATTCGTCTCAGTCTTTCTTTTTCAAAAGTCTGGTATCCTTTTTTGTAAATCGCCCGCGATTTTTACCTATTGCTTCTAACGCTTTTTGTTCTACGTCCGACGGCAATTTTTCTTCTTCAAATGGGTTTCCATATATTTTTGCTGCATCTACTTTTGTAAAACTGAAAAGTTTATATATATACAACACGGAGGTAGAAGAGACTCTCTTCTACCTCCGTGGTATACAAGCTCTACAGTAACCTATACCTACTACTACATTGAAAATAGAGCTTGACATTTAAATTTCTAAACATTTTTCGTATTGTTTTTACAGTCTGCTATAGAAAAAAATTAAATATTATACACAATGGTAAAGAGAAATTAACTTCTCCTGAAAAATAATTCCTTTATTATAACTATCGTCACTCGAGAATTAACATCTTTCACTCAATAGTTAAAGGAAACGCTTTATCGTCTTATATAATAAATAACTATTTTAAAATGTTTTTTAAATGAAACAGGAGTCTGAGCATAAAGTAACCGGTCACGTTACTTTAACCACGAACCAACACGGTAAACTATTTTGACGTCATTAACAGCTGATTGTCATTTAGTTTTTAGGTTATGTTTTTATAAGATCACCAGTTTGCATTTTTTAAAACAATGAATGAAGAAATTGATGAATCTGAGTTTTATCATCAAGATTTTACAACTGCATCAGAATGGGAAATATTTATTGCACGTGTTGAAGAAATAATCAATCAATGGAAAACAGAGGATTTGAAAGATGAACAAACAGAATGCGATTTATCTCCGGAGTGGTTTATTAAGAGTGAAAGTCTGTCCTTTGTAGATTTCGATTTTAATTTGTCACTTCATAGAAAACGGCATATTAAAGAAAACAATGAAGCTGCAGATCCCAGTAATACGAAAAATCCATTTGACAACTATTACGACTTTGAGTTGCATGATCCAAAAAATGTTGTGGAACACTCTTGCTTAAGCAGATGGTATGGGCTTAATGAATACATAGTATTAGGGCCCGCTGGAAATGTTGGTATTACTTCTGAAAGTCGTATAAAAGTTTTGCTGAGTTCAGTTTATGTTGCATCTGCCAATTTAAAATGTGAGGTTCCCATCTTCGTCCAAATTAGGGAAAAGTGGCAAAATTGTTATTTAGGAGTTTATGAATCAGATACGGTACGCACAAATTTAGAAATGGTGCATTTAAAAACTTGTCCAAGGTTATGCCAATATTTGTCAGGATTACTAGAATTATTTAAATCTAAAATATTATCCCCAACTATGATGACAACTATAATAGTTTCCCTTCAATCGTCGTATGTTCTACATGATTTTGGAACATATGTGTGGAAACAAGATTATGCAAATTTTGAGAATGATCACTTTGATGGAAATTATATTTGTAACTTGCCATTTGGGGTTACAATTGATCCTGTTGAGTCACTAATTGTTAAAACTTCATGGTCCCATTTAAATCACAGGGCTGTTCGAGACAGTGAGAGTTATAGCGACTTTGACCCAATGTTGGCGGCAAAATGGACAGTTTTAATTTCAACAGCAGAACAACCTATTTGTTTACTGGGAGAATGTCTTACTGAAGTTTTACATTTACTGAACAACAATTCCGCAATCTATGACGTGTTAGGAGATTTTGCAGCACCTGTATCATCAGATATTAATAATCCATTAGATTTATTAACGGAGACGAAAGTTCCCGCTATTTCAACACTCCTTTCAAGAGCTGCTAGAAATTCTTTGACAAAAAGTCACAGAAAGGGTATAGCTCCTTTGTCAGAAGAGGTGTTGGTTCCAATATTGTACTTTTTGTTTCCTGATGCTGAAGAAGATTCACCACATTTGTACAAGGAAACAAAGGATCTATCTCCAAAAGTAAGTTAAGTCGATTTTTATACATTTTAGCAGAGGGGTATATTCAAATTTATGCATTTTGTGTAATAATTGTGAAATAGGTACATTGAAAAAAGTTTGAATTCCATTATAGCATATTCTTCATATGTGAACAAATCTTTCACTAACAAAAGTCGTTGAAAGGGATTAATTACTCTACAAGTACACATTATTTAGTCAACTTTTGAATATTTATTTTAAAACCACTTGAGCATGGGCATACTATTTTTTTATCTACATTTGCATTATTTAATGGGGGCGTCTAGTGGCCGAAATCTAACACGTGTTGAAAGTTTCAAAGAAGCGTTTTTTACATCACAGTTACTTAATAAATGTAAGTTTATAAATTAATAAAAACTGATAATTGCAGTTTACATCGCAACATTATTATGAAAAGGTTGTAGTAAAAAATTCGCTTCTTGATAATTTTCATTTCTTGAATGATTTAAGGAATTCACAAGTGTATATATTTATGAACTAGTAAGGTATTTTATGAATCAATTTCAGTTTATTTATCGCGCAGAATAGAATAATTATAGCATAATATTAATAATAATATTAAATGAATAGAAGTCTTGCCTGAATGCCGGTTATTTCTGGGTCAGTGGTAGGTCCTAAAATAATTATAATAATAACTTTATTTCTCTGAATAATACATATATTGCATGATAATTGATAATTGTCAAGGAAAAAAAGTGGTCAAGGTTTATTTCGACAGAACTTCCCTCGCGTTTGAAGTACAAGTCCAACAAATCTTCTTGGAAAAATTATAAAATTAGATTTTGGAATGTTTGTTTTGTGATAATTTCTATAGAGTAAAAATCAGCGGCATAAATAACACCTTCGTAGCCCCTGCGCCGTGAGGATGGCAGATTGCAAGGGGACGTCGCACAACTACGGACAAGATAAAATATATAAACAAGCTTTAACTTCAAGTGTTTATGTTTATATATCTGAAGAATGCCACGTAGAAATTTGTTTGATTTGGATGAGTTTGTTGCCTCAAAACAGAGGACTAAAATGAATAATTTAGCCACAATCGAACAAAATGTTCTGAATATTATTATTGGCATCGAACGTGCGACACGTCTATCCGCGTGTCAATGTGTAACTGACTAGGCCACGTGGTACGTCGATATTTTATGTTAGTGGCAAAATGTTATAGTGTGTTAATTTTTTTATGAACATTTGGCTGTTTAGGGAAAAAAATTCAAAGCAGATTCGTACGTCACAAGTGTAGGAGTATATTGCACATTTAAATCATTTTAAAATAGGATTCTTTGAAATGACGTCATCACATTGTTGGTAGGAATGATTAACCAAATTTTAGTTATTAGTGTTTTCGATCTACATGACATACCTAATATACGAGTACATACAAAAATTAAATAATATACGGTCTAGTAGTTTCGAATATTACGTGTCCAATAATAATTAATACAGACGACAGACAGACAGACAGACAAATAGACAGACGGACCGAAACGGGAGACTACTTTTCTCGTACTCTGGGAGTCATGAACCGTCGAGAAAACATAAATGTGACCATTCATCCAATGGACTCGATTACTATATATTTCCGTAACTTACGCTCAGAAAGTAAAAAGAAATATGCAGATTGAATAGGTGACAAACATAGGACTACATAAGTACAATATGAATACATATGAAACTTTCACTAGTTTAACAAACAATAGCAAACAATAGTAAATAAAATCAATACAAAATTTAAAAGTCATTGTAGCGATTCGCAAATACAGAATCAGAGTAATAAGTTCTATTTCTGAGAAACTCTCGTAATTTTTTTTTGAAAGCACACATTTTATTAATATTTGTGATTTCGGTTGGAAGTCGATTGTAGAATAATATGAGCATGTCTTCTTATAAAATGTTGTTCGATGTAAGACTGTATTAAGATACGAGTATTATATGGGTGGTTATGACATTGCTTTTCAAATTTGAGAATATTTTGTTTTATAAGAACGGTAATTTAAAGATGCAGATGCATGGAAAAGGGAGTATTTTGTGCCGTTTAAAAAGTAGTCTGCAAGATTCCAGCGGCTTGGGATTAAAGCTGAGACGCAAGATTAGTTTTTGTGCTATTAGAACTCCACTGGAATTAACCCTACCCTCAGGACATAACGTTATATGATAACGTATTTGATTTTATTGTAATTAACAGTTAGCTAATTTGTTATATTTACACCACCAGAAAAATTCTTTAATACCTTGTTTTGTACGCACATATAACTCTCTTTCACAGTCAGCAGTTATTGCTACTGAGATGTCATCTGCAAAAAGTATTATACACTTAGCACTATGTTTTCGCAAATCATTTGTGTATAATAAAAATATTAGTGGTCCCAAGACAGACCCATGAGGAACCCCAATATTCATTTCATTTGCGTGGAAATGACATATACACCCTTGAGAGAGAAATAAGTATGTATGTAATAGCCTAGTTTTTAATTTTTAAACAGTTTGAAAATTCTTCATTCATTGGCCGATTGTGAATAAAATAATTATTTGCAAAACGTCAAACTATTTATTCACTCGTGTTAGTTTTATATTAAAATGTCTGTTTACACAGCGGAAGGAAAAGTAAAATTTGTTACATGTTTCATCCAAGATTTGTCAAGTGGAGAAGTGGAGTCGCAGCCATTGAAAACTGAACCAGTTTGACATAACAAAGTTTTAGTTGTTAATTTTTTTATATCATAATACAGCAATTTGAATGTACGCTCCTGATATGAAAAATGGGACAAAATTCATTTGTCAAACAAAACACTAATTAAACCCTAGTATTTTTTAAATTTAGAAGTGTGTGTCAAACCTAGTGGTCCAGTTTTCTGTCCGGAACTGTACAGGTGCTGCGACAATTCTGTAATCGAATTTCTGAATCGGTCGATTCCTAAAAATAATTAATTATACCTATCACAAGGCTTTTGCCAATACGAGTAACATGTTCTGGACGAGTGGTACACAAGATTTTGTTTTGATTTCTATATAAAATAAAATTGTTATTGATTGGATTTTTTTGACGGTGTATAATGATGGAAATGAAAGTGTATAAATAATTTTCCAGAGGCGAAAGTTGGTAGGACCGACCCGATGATCGAGAATTGCGAGTTCGAATGTCACTTGGCGCTGAACATTTTTTTCTCGCTTTTATGGGCTTTTTTACATTACACACGTTATTTACTTTATGTATTCCTAAAATAAGACGTATGTAATTAAACTGGTACCTTAAACTGGGTATTCTAGCTCAAAATTTAGAAAAACTTCGCTTTGTTATAAAGATATGCGAATGCGTAGACAACCCACTTCTTAGTGACAGAATGACAAGCGATGATACCAACCGATATCGATAATTATACAAAAAATCCGAGGTATTTGCGGGAATATTCCAGCAAGTACTTCTGGGTTCTGACCGGTAGAGACGTATCGAAAACCAGTGATGCTGGAGGTACAAGAAACTTACAGAATTAAACACTATTTGACCTTTGTTAAATGTTACCTTGATTGTGTCATATTTGTCATATCTTACTTAGTAAGGCAAGTTCGTAGCGAATTTAATAATAATTTAGTTTTGTTGTAATTCTGTAATTATTTTGTTCTGTACAATAACATGAACTCAAATGTATTTATAAAATACTAGTCTAATATTCTGTCCAATTTACTCGAAATTTTCTGCGGGAAAACTCATTGACACGACCCGAAGTATTTAGCACATAAATCCCGATGGCCAGGTAAGGTGGCTACTGAACGTCCGTACAATAATAAGTTAATAAGTACAATACTGCTATGACATACTCATGCCATGTGGACCCGGGTGGGTTAGGTGGCATCGCGCTTGCCCGCTACACCTTGGGTCATGGGTTCGATTCCCGGGGCCCTGCTCTGGGTGTTGTGTATGTCCCCCGTTACCCTGTAATTGGGCTTCCGGCCTGTTGGGTAACGTCAATCAATAAAATAATATAAAAAAAGTGTAGTTTTGAGAGTTACGTTCTGATTATTTTTTAAAAGATTCGATGAAACTTACCATTTGAAATCGGAACAATAGTTGTATATTGTGAAAAATGATTAAGAATACTAGCTATGTATGGTACAAGTACAAGTATGAAAAATGTATATTTAAGGTATGCGTATGAAAGTTTGCGGAACGACCGAAGGAAGTTAATCAAAACCTTTCTAATCATCACCACCAATCTGATGACGTCATCTCAATATTTTGCATGATAAATGGTGTTTATCTAAAATTTGATGGTTTCCTTGGTATTTTTGGGCCCATTGAGGGGCGGAAACGCCAGAAAACGCAAGAAAAGGCTTGAAAAGTAACATTTCTGAGGTTTTTTAACGAATTTTTTGAATCTACGAATGCCAGAATGTGAAAAATTAACCCAGTCGTCTCCTTTTCGCAAAATAATTAGGTTCTGCATATTGCTAGTACGTCATGTCGATCGGTATTTTTTCTTTTTCTTACACTGTGACTGGTATTACGTATTTTTTTTCTTAGAAAACTGAATTTGTTTGATTATATTTCAGGGGTGAGGAAACTTATATCTAATACCATTAGACCAGTTTTTATATGCTTTTGAGCTGCAACATTTTAAAAGGCTAATTCTGGAGATTTTTGTTTATCATTTGTCATCATCACAAATTGGAACTTCTAGTTATTAAAATTCATCTAAAACTGGGTAAAAGATTTACCTACAGTTGCATGCACATCTTCGACCCAAGTGTAGTTGGAGTTGGTTACCACGTTTCGTAATTGTGACAAATAAAATGTAACATTTTTCTTTTGATGTGAAATTTCCAGTAACGTCGACAAAAGAATACAATTTTTCACAATTTATAATGCGACTACCATACCTACACCTGACTCGAGTTTGATCATTTAAATTCTTAGTACAAAAGTTGGATTGTCATTAACACTATTATTGTGTGTTGATGAAATATGTTAAGACTAATATTTATAATAATTGATTAGTACTGTGTAGTTCGTGGATAACAACTTTTTAGTAGAATATAATACGTGTCGTATAAAAGTTGATGTTTGCTTTAAAATTTTAGGAAAAAAATCTGGAAAAAAATGTGTTCGATTTGGACCATGAATGTAGAGGGTTGAAAACATGTAATTCTGATTCTTTGATTTGGCGCCTGTCGATTGTTTTGGTTCATGCTCTGCAGTCACTAGGAGGCATCAGATCTTTCTCACATTTGTGGTTCGAATTTATCCAAGAAATGAGGTACAGATGGGAGAAAAGTATTCCAATTCCTGGGTAAGTGTCTATCGAAGATTTTTTATTCAATCATAATTTTTGCCAAAATTTAACCTTAATTATGTACACATACAAAATAATTGGTCTGTCAAGAAATAAATAAGTGACAAGATAGTGTTTCATAAATTAATTTAAGGAAAAATAATTACATCCTACAAAATATAATTTCTTATAAGTTGATTTAGTGATTACTGATACTATGTTATTGTATATTAACTGATTCTATCAGTCACGCTGCGATTTAAAACATACCGACTTAAGTAACAGCCATTCGAAAAATTACAGAACACATTTATCTATTGAGCAATATATCAGAGCGGCACAAGACCGTTTCTCGTGGTAGGATTCCTTGCCATGTAAATTTCCATGTCATGATCAGTCCAGTTATCAGAATTGTCGCAATAATTATTTAAAGTATGCGTCGATCCAGCTGTACTGTAGCGACTGCCCGGTCTATTGTAGTCACGTGATCTGGATCGGGGCCGGGATCGTCTTGAAGATGCCACAGAATGGGACGGTCCATGGTGACTAGGTCCACGAGTGGACATTCTGTCTGACTGCATTGTTAAAGACTGCCTTGACTGTCGTAAGTCTAGAATACATAACCGTTAGTATTTTTATAATAAATTGTGTATTGGATTTTCTTTCCCAAGAAATAACTCTCCTATTAAATATGTTTTTTTTCATTGTGTATCATCAGCTTATGTAGTCTTTGACTGAATTTCACAACCCTTGGTTATATTTCGTTTCCCAAAATACGTTGCACATATGGCATCAGAATTTTTTATTGGGGTAATACTAACAACTGGTGCCGATGGACTAGATACAGAATGGTAATCAAAATTCGAAAAATGGAGACAACAGGCGGATATCTTAATTCTTAATCTATGTTTGATATTACTAAATTTATCATTCTGATTTAATAAAACTCATTGCGATGTGTCAGCTAATAAAAGAGTTATTGCCTGGGAAACAAATCAGAGATACTTGGTATGAGGAGATTACCTTGTCGTGATGAAATTAAATTACTGGGAAAAGCATTTAGGTATCGCCCAGAATGATTAGAGAAACTATTTTGCGATTGCCCATCGGCGATCGAGCGCTGCTTTGTTCCCTTTGTACCATAACGTATGTCATCAAGTTGGTCTACCGAGTACCTGCGAGGTCTTTGCACGCTATGGGTACTGTAACCTGATACTTGGTCCCAGTCCTACAACAATACAGTTATCGTAATGGATTTACTTATTTATTTGAGAACCTTATTGTTATTGAAAGCGCTAAGAGTTGCTAACGAAGATAACGGTCCGCCAGGACTTGCTGCTGGACCTACGCCGGTACAACAGTTAACTGGCAGCCCGTTTATGGGTAAACCGTTTTTAATTCCCATCTTTTGTTGATGCAGTTCGTGTAGTTTTCTTGTTCTTCGTCTCGACGCTGCCACAAAAATTATGACTGCAATAACTATGGTTCCGCAAATTGCAGCACTCGCCGCAATGGTGATTTTATCCATGTTTGAAGATGCCGATGAAACAGTTCTTACTTCGCGACATTGTGAATAGGGCACGGTTTCAGGCGTAACGTTAATCTCTTCCAAGGAGACCACGCAGACTACAATGCATTCCTGCAAAACAAGAGACCATCGTACATTTACAATTTACTCCACGACAATTTTTTTCTTAAATTCTTGATATGTTTATTGTAATATTATTAGACTAACCTGCGATGGTACATTCTTGATTTTGAATTCCCTCTCGCTTGCTTCCAAAGGCGGGCCTTGTTTGAAACTTTTGTCTCCGAATAGTCGATAAACTACTCTGAAACCTAAGATGTTTGCCGTATCTGAACCCCATTGAATGATGACGGAGTTATCTTGTCGGAAAGCATTTTTCACTAAAACTTCATTTGAATCATCAGCTTTGGATTTAGACGGATAATTCATAATCAGAGAAGGTCGTTGTGTATTTTTCCATGGTGTTGTTGTTGTTCGTAATTTTGGTTTTGTCGTTGAAGATTTGATTGTTGTGGATGTTGACTTTGTAGTTGTCGTTGAAATGGTACTCGTGGCAATGGTCGTTTTTGTAGTGGGCTGCTTCGTTGTCGTTTTTACAGGAGTTTCAACTTCTGCTATTGACACATCGTCTAAATCTGCGCTAACAACGGTGGCTATTCCAATACCTTCTTCTTTTTTGCATGACAACTCTTCGGGTTGTATGCTGTAGAAACCACGATCTCTGAACCGGGCTGGACTTCCACAAAATTGAGGGTTTCGTTCACGACTCGTTACTTGTAAATCACCGTTTCTGATCCAATCGATGACCCAAGCTAATCTACAGTCACAGTGCAAAAACCGGCCACCTAAGCTTAGGCCTCGGAGGGTATTGTTTAAATGTGACAGCGCTGCAAACGGAATGGTGGCTAAAGGGTTTCCGTCTAATGCCAATAACGTAATAGATGGATTCCCTTGGAAAGCTTTGTCTGGTAATTCGGTTAATAAATTAAATCCGATGTCTAATACCCGGAGTTCGGACAAGGCACTTAAAGCTTCTGTTGGAAAGTCTGCTAATAAGTTATTAAGTAAACTTAAAGAACTTAGTGATCGTTCTACACCACGAAAAGCGTTTTTTCCTAATGTTTGGATTAAATTTCTTTCAAGATTTAAAGCCGTCAGAGAATCCAAACCTTGAAATGATTTGAGTCCCGTTTTTCCAGGTAGTTCTCTTAAGCTGTTCTGAGACAGATCAAGAAATGCTAATGTTTTTAAGTTGCGGACAGCTTCGGGTATGTCTTTTTGGCGTGTTCCTTTTAAATTTAAATTTTTAAGAGAGGTTTCAAGACCTTTTAAAGCACCAGTGGATAATGTCACATTATTATCAGATAATTTTAAGGTGGCTAACTTCTTTAACGTTTCGAAGGAGCTATCAAGAACTGTAGTGATTCTGTTGTGGGAAAGATCTAACAGAGACAGAGTCCTTAATGGTCTCAAACTATCAACAGGCACTTTGGTTAAGTCATTGTCTTGTAAATTTAAGTTTTTCAAATGTTGTTCTTGCCCTTTAAAAGCATCACTTTCAACACTATTTATTTTACAACCGGACAATTGTAGATTTTGCACTTGAAGGTCCACAAAAATATTGTCTTCCAAAACACCGATTGTTGAGTTGTTGACATATAACAGATCCAACGGTGTTGTAGTGGCGTATTTTTGAAGAGCTGCGAGCAGCTTTGGCCACTCTACCATGTCGCATTGCACAGACAGTTCATGTCCTAAATTGTAGGAGCATAGGCATGAAGATTGAAGGTCTATAGATTCGCGCTGCCATGGACATTGGGCCGTAGTTAAAGAGATCAGTGTCACTGCTGCCACCAAGGTGGCGATGACCCCTCCTTCCAGCATGATCTGAAAATGAAATCCATGACTAGTTATTGACTCAATAAGAACGGTAACGGACGGATTGCACTAAGTGCGTGACTTTCTTAACTACAATGAACTCGTTTCTTGTTCGCGGATTAAAAGCAATTATTTTTATATTAAAGCTGCTCATGTTATTAGAACCGCTAGCACTCTTGGTTAGTGTTGCTATTTAGTACTTTTAGAGCATGTAATAAATTTATTATTGTCCATTTCATGTGGAAACGGTTAAAATTAAGTTATTATAAAATAAAAGTTTTACTGAAAGTGCTTTATTTAAGTATTTTGTTGTGAAAGGAAAGGCAAATGATATATTATTCTATTTTTGGTTGTCTGATATTTGTAATTTAAAATTGATTACATATTGTTTGCAAACAGCACGTCTGTACCAAAAGCCGATTATAATGTAAACAAATTTTTGATCACATAAAAATCATTTTAGTTCATTACTAACTAACGTTTAAAGTATTTTTATATGATGTTGCTTTAAAATGTGGCGGTATTAATAGTCACGTTGTTAGCAAAACATCTTTAGACAAAGGTTGCTTTAAAGTTTCCATTACCAGCCTGTATAAAGTGATAGTGTAATAATAACATTTAAAGAAGTACTTTAATGTCACTGACATTGTATGACCTACGTGCATCATGGGTGTGAGCGGTTGTGAAACATTGAAGATGCACCAAAGTATGTATTAAACAATAGTGAACGGAACAACTTGAAGGATCACGTTGCGTTTTTGTATTGATGAAGCGAAAGAAATGAAAATTATTGCTGCAATGTGGTCGTCCCTCACGTTTCTGTTGTTTGGTGTCACAATAACAAATTCCCATGTTAAACAAGATATAATTTACATTTATGTATCACATGTTAGCAATGTCGCCTATAAGTTCTTTATTTTCGCTTAGTTCTCATGTTATGTAAGGTGGGAAATGTGAAATGCTGGTGGTAGTGTCTACTGCTCCATTTTCTCTCTGCGTAATTGTCATTTATTTTACAGATTGATAAGTGAAACAATGGAGCTAAATAGCTTAAAAAGTTGCTTCAACTCATGAATTGAAGAAAATGTAAATGTTTTTGCACAATAAAAAATTGCGCAGTTTCTCGCTAATGGTCAAAACTTGGCATTGCTGTGCAGTGTTATGCACCAGTTATTTGTGACTGCCGTTAGATTTTTGCCGTTACGGTGCTATCAATTGTGCCTTGTGTCGATTTCATTTGAGACCTTGTTCGAATCGAGGTCAGTTTAAGATCATCGATGTTCAGTGAATTATATGCATATAGGAAGACACTAATTCAACGCAAAAGAAGTACATATTAGAGATCGTGCGAAGACATAAAAATTGGTTAGGTTTTCGATGCAATTTACTTCAAAACAAACGTGATCTTACCTAAATTTTGTGCCACAACCTGGAGTAGTAATAAGGGCTGACATCCATTCTGACTTTATACAACATTATTAACTGGTCATCGTAACTGTCGGTGTCAAAGTTCGTAGCGATGGTTCAAACTTAATGCTTGGTATAAGCAGCCTGAGGCTGTAGGTGAAGATTATGTGGACCGTTATGGTCAACCAACCTGCAAAAAGATATAATCAGTGTCATTCTCTCTTTTAACTAAGTATAACCTATAGAAAGTGTTGATGACATTGAGAAGTCGCTGCAGTTTCCTCGCTTGTAATGAGAGAATTCTACAGTTATGCAAAGTATGATGTTGTAATCAGAAGAAAAGAGATCATTTATTATTATGTTAATGTAGCAGTAAATTAAAACCTCATTAAATTTAGTGTATTTTTATTTGTAACTAATATTACGTTATTTACGGAAAGTTTGCCATACAACTTGGTTAATGTTCCAGATATCAAACTTCTAGAGATTTCATGCCCTTTTTCCTTTTTTTATATAAAATTGATTTTAGGAATTTATGATTGTACGGGGTGTCTCAGTTAAAATTGACATTTTATTTTTTGCAGTAGTTTTAAAGTCTGCGCTGGCGTAATAACTACTGGAAACAAGGTTTGCAATTTGTGCATGCTTAGTACAGATAAAATTTAAATGATACCTACGCTTGATGTAATTTTAAATTTTGGTAATTGTCATTGGTAATCAAAGTACGACGATTAAGAGGAGAGTAATTTTCAAAATAGAGAGAGTGAGTTTGTACTGATTAGGTGGCATTTTTTGTGTAAGGATAGAAACGGCCAAGTCCTAAAAATGTACTTAGTATGAAAATACCTTTAAATTTTATTAATAATAATAGAAGATGGAAAACCTCAATTCAGTTGTGTAACATTAGGAGGCAGATCGAGTAAACTATTTAGTTTTAAGAATAATCAGACGAAGAACGTTCCTTACATTGTTAAGTTTCAAACAGCAAATAAATATTTCCTGATAATTTACAAAGCCTTCCGACATCGTTTCTTATGGCGTGTATTTTTTAAAACAATGTTCTGGCAATGTATGAATCCTAAAATATTTTTTTTGTATAACACTGGTCAACAAAATTCAATTTTTTCTCTCTAACTTTGACATAATTGTAATGTTTTCGTTTAATTTGTCTCTGTGTTTGTAACAAAGGGCATAAACCTTACAACTTAGCTCAATTAAAAATAAAAATGCATATTTGATGTTAAAAACAAAAAAGCAGGTAAAACAATTTAATTTTTGTATCTTTAACGGAAAAAAGTGATGTATTAACAAAAGAACAATTATAATTAAGAAAAAAACAACGATTGCAGTTTAAAAAACGAAAAAAACAAAAGAAACAGCTAAGACCGACGTTTTTTCGGTTGCCTCCTATCGGAATGGGACTATCTGGCGCGGCCGACTTGGCGCGGCCAACTTGGCGCGGCCGACTTGGCGCGAGCCATTTTGGCGCAAAGCCAACTTGGCGCAGGGACACTTTGGCGCAAGCCATCTTGGCGCGAGCCATCTTGGCGCGAGTACGTCTGTATATAATATAAAAAATCGTTATTGTTCGTACTGTGGTTGGCACCCCGTTATTTATGTCAAGTGTAGGGAACCAAATACACAGTTTCATCCGCACAAATTCCAATAACTAAATGATCCACGGAGCAAGAAGTTCCACGTTTAGGAGTATGTTTATAATGGGGTGCCGGGCGCGAAGCGCCCGTGTGTCCATTAAAAAGTCGACATTACCCCTCTACGCGTTGGTGACTATAAAAATTAGGTTATGCTAACAACGGATGCAATTTTTGTATATTTATATCTATTTTTCTTGGTGCGAGTTCATTCGCGCCAAGATGGCCCGCGCCAAGATGGCTTGCGCCAAAGTGTCCCTGCGCCAAGTTGGCTTTGCGCCAAAATGTCTCGCGCCAAGTCGGCCGCGCCAAGTTGGCCGCGCCAAGTCGGCCGCGCCAAATTGTCCTAGACCGGCCTCCTATAGATTTCATTGGAGATCTCTCGCTTGATGGTCCCGCAGTATTCTGCGAGCATTTAGGTGTTCCATCGATCTTGGTAACGTTTTTGTATCCACAAAATGCCCAGATGGAAGCGTTCTCTACGTTCGTCACTCATGTCGTCATAATTTTTGGGGAAAAAATCAAGATGCGAATACATAAAATGCACTTTTAAAAATATATTAATTTTAAATTTTTTATATCATGATAACATGTTTTCTACTTACTAAGCGTAGTTTTCTTATTGTTTCCCAAGAAGTTTGTAGCAATTTGATCACAAAAAAATACACCTTATAGAATGTTTCCTATTACTTAATAGTACGATTTTTGTATTTTTCAAAGGATAATATTGAAGATTACTTTTAAATGAGAGCTAAGTTTGGGTTTAGCCGTTTATAATATCATTTAAAATTGTTAATTAAATAATAATTGGCTGCTATAATAAAAGTTAGAGCTTAACTGTTGACCAGTGTAATTTGAAGTTTATGTTTTTCATTGTTTTGAGTTTACCTTTATACTAATTTACTCATTTAGGTTGTGGTTCGTCGAAAGCTATTTTTATTGTCTTTTTCGGAGCTTTTGTAGGGCTTGACATATAGCTTGACGACATTCTTAACTTCACTATGTAACAATTTTTCAAATTATATTTAGCACAACAGAGGAATTATTTACTAAGAAAATTAGCGAGAATGTTTCTAAAAATTTTTCGTATGGAAGCACTTTTTAAGAAAACAATCACAGTACGCAGTGACTCTTTTTGGGATATAGAACCGATCAGCATTCAAAGGTATTAACATTTCTACACAAGATAGTTAGTGGTGATTACGTTATTAAAATTTTCATTGTGATGCTAATTTGAATCTAGTGGAATGCCACAGAAAAGCAGAAGGATGAAACAGTGTTTCCGTTATATTTGTAAATCCTCGTAAAAATGAGGAATTTCCCTAATGCTAAAGGAAGTACTATAGAACGTTAAGAACAAAATAAAATATACTTTATTACATAATGTGTAAAATTCTATTATTATATTATTTCTGAAAAATTCTAAATTCATGTTCATGTCAATATTATTTTATGAACCCCAAAAGTTCATTTTATATCTACTTATCAAACTTTAAAATCGTTTTGTATGTATTTTACTCAAGTAAAATGTGTTAACACATATGTACCTACATTTTTTCATCACACACTTGGCTATCAAACACTTAAACAATTTTTTATGCAACTGACGCAAACTTCTGTTTGATAATAATAATTATTTGTTGCCATAATGGTGCCATTGTCATTCGTTATTGAAATTATTTTTAAATATTTAAGAATTAGGGTAAGGTATGTATATAATTGTAAAATCTTACCAAATATCCGCCATCAATAAGCTTTCGCGTAGTTAAAATCCTTCTAAATTATTTATGAAATTGTTGCAACTCAAAATTTAATAATAATACATTCAATAATTAGTTCTACACCCATGTATTAGGCAACGCAATTTTTGAAACACACAGCTTTATATTATAAGCATCTCTCGTTTACATTTAATCGTTTTAGTAGGTTTACGCAACATGGTGCTATGCTATCTATCAAAACATTTATTTGTCTTCCGGCTACCCTCAAAGCGTTATTGGTACCTTCGTGGTAAAAATTATCGATATAAAATTATGTAACTTACAGGATAATAATAATTGAAAGTCATGTAACGGTTCCAAGTAGTAAACCTTAATTTTCATTCACTGTTATAATCTGTTTAATTATATTATTACGGTCCCGTTTTTCACACAGTTTAATTATAGCAGAGAATAATCACAATTAAAATCTAAACAATTTTAAGGATCTAATAAAATTATAAGACATAAATCGTCCAGTTAGCCGTTAATTTCGTAGCCGGTTCTCTGTGAGAGTTAGATTGTTTGGTAATTCCTAATAAGTTTCATTGTTGTAGTAAAAGTTGTCTTTCTATATTTGTATATTTCATCGAAGAGTTTGATGGGATTAGTAAATGGTAGTAATCGATCCATGCGTTGCTTCATATCTCTTCGTGTGCAAAGTGAAGACAAATATAGCGGTATTCGTTCCATACTATGTTTTGTCTCGTTGCATGTATCGTGATTTTTTTCTATTAAATGTTAATTATTTTCTATCCAAAACGTGACTTGCTAAGGTCAAGGCAATAAGTCGTGTGTTCACCATAAAATAACAGGTCTGTCAGAGAAAAATGCACAATGTACCGTCGCTGAGGTGGTTTACCTTGTGCATTCTTTAAGCCTTTAATAAATGATCAATGGAAATAGAAATATCTACCCACTTTTCTATCAATTATTTTTAAATAATGAATCATGTCGGAACAAACAATGCACTACCCACTTTATTACATAATTACTTTAATTGTAAAGCAAATGGAACTGCTTGTCTGTATTTCATCTCTGTTTCATCACTTTAAAAGAGTTTTTAACACACATGTCTTCTACTCAAGTGAAAGTTGCGTCTATTATGTGTCAGTGGTAATAATATTAATAATAATTATAGCATGTGTCTGCTATCAAATGAGAAAATCTTCACACAATGATTTAGCAATATGTTAATAACAATAAAGTATGAGAGGCTGAGATACCTACGTAATCGTGGTAAGATGAAGAACTCGGTGAATTCTGCAAAGTGACTCGGAACTACATTCTTTCGTGAATAGAACAACTGGCGTATCACATAAAAAATATGTTTCTGAAAATTCGACACTTTAAGTTTAGTTTTTGGTACATTTTATTACAACCTGTTTTGTTGAACTGAAAAAACAAGTCAGAATTTTCAGAAGTTTGTTGAGTGTACATCTTCGATTTTTTATTATTGTAACATCTAGTTACTCACCTAATTGATAACACGTGTCGGTGTAAATTTAAGGTTACACGCAACAAAAATAACACGTTTTGTTTTATATTTGAATTCATTACGACTGCGGTAGTTTCGATTTTTGTCATAAATTTACAACTTGATGTAACTTAAAGTGTTTATTTATAGCGTTTATAATAACTAATTTTCTACTACAGGAAATTATCCCTTAATAAATTAATTTTATCACAATTTGGTTTGAACTAGAGCCTTTCTAAATGTTACACCGTTTGTTTTCTGAAGCTTGACGAGTATGATACTGTGAAGATCACTAAGGCCAAGT